TTTTTACGTCAATGCCTGTTCGTTACATGGGCGTAAAAACGTTACGCGTTGTTTTACGACGAAGATTGTGACATGGCAACTTATCCACAGCTCACTCAATGTGCAACATGCCCTTCAAGTTCGCTAGAATCAGACGCCATGACAATCGCTTTTTATAATAATAATATTATTATTTTAGAATAATATTAATATTAATATACAAAAATTCTAAACAAAATAATAATATCAATAATAACAAATATAATGGCATGGATAAAAAATTACCCTTCCTTTTTCTTCTTCTGCAGCCGTCATGCAGGCATACGGAGTTCTTGAGCAAATTTCCTTATAGTCAACGCGTTCCTCCCATAACACAAACTCAACTGCAACACACATTCAGTTGCAGCAGACTCACTGGTAACAATACCGTAGGCTCGGTAGTTACAGACTCAGTGGTAACACAAATCCGTAGGCTCGATAGTTACAGACTCAGTGGCAACACAATTCCGTCGGCTCGGTAGTTACAGACTCAGTGGCAACACAATTCCGTCGGCTCGGTAGTTACAGACTCAATGGTAACACAAATCTGTAGGCACGGTAGTTACAGACTCAGTGGCAACCCAAATCCGTAGGCTCGGTAGTTACAGACTCAGTGGCAACCCAAATCCGTAGGCTCGGTAGTTACAGACTCAGTGGTAACACAATTCCGTTGGCTCGGTAGTTACAGACTCAGTGGTAACACAATAATACGTATGCTCGGTAGTTACAGACTCTGTGGTGAAACAATTCCGTAGGCTTGATGGTAACAGATAACGGCAATCTGTGATAATATCGCACGGTCACGGATCATTCTCCCTATATCATCCATTTTGTGATAATATCGAAGGTTTATTTTTCATCCTGCAATAACATAGCACATTTGCTTTCATCATCCACGATATAGGATATCGCAAGTTTGCTCTAGCAGCAGACAAATTTTGTTGCAGTTATAGTTTACAATCAAATTTAGCGTTTTCTATGACATCTGACGTTTTCTCAATCATTCAATTGGATGGGAAACTATCGCAAATATACTCCATACGACCACACCTGTTTTCAAACATACACTAAGTCCGCTGAACGACTATGGCTGGTTTACCCCATGGTTGAATTAATACATTTTTATTTCAACCATGGGTTTACCCACTCAGAAAAGATAAGCATTTGGGTAAATTGAACATACAAGAACTGTAGATTAATTTCACTCCTCTATTTTAGTTATTCTAAATTATTTATGTTGTTCCCAGACTCACTATGACGTTCCTCCCCACTCTCAGCAGTACATCCCTCCCGCACCCACACTGTTAGTTTTGCCCCCCCCCCCTCAAAGTTGATTCCATCCTGTACCCTCAGTGATACCCTCACCCTCCCCCCAGAGGAAGCGGGAGGGCAAAGGAGGCGGGACGCTGGCCAACAGAATGGGGCGACCGCGTGAGGTGTGACGTCACAGAGCCACTTGTGTTCAGTGGCGACAGAGACGCTCTGTATGTTGTGTACTTCATACATCAGTGGACCTTTGCTGTGTGCAGTGATACAACGCAGTCATGCTACACGCTGCAGTGCAGTGGTATACAGGCTGTGACACTATTGTGCTGTTTGGTTTTGAGCAAGTTCTACTACACAGTGATGAACGTTGATTGAAATGACGTCTCATTATTTGCTGACCATAGGCTGTTCTTACAGTCTATATCAGAACCTTCGCGTGATTGTTTTGATGTTCATTCGTTGCTTATTAGATATTATTTACTAAACTGTGTTAGTTCTTGCCAGCCTCCCTCCCTAATTGTCGGTCAAGGTCGTAACACTCACCCTTGCAAGCAAATTATTCGACAAATACTTAATGTAATTTAATATTAACCAAATGACTGAATATTATTGTGGTTAAATATATGAATAAGTAAAAATATAGTTATATAGAATTAAATAGCCGAATTAGTGATTGATGTAGAGCCAGGTACAGATAACGTGCGTGGTGCTCAAGCATTGAGGTCAACTTGCCTCTATCATTGCTATCGTTCTGGCTGCATGCTATTCTATCATTTACTCCAAGTATCAAAGATCAGACAATCATTCAGTTGGTTAATTAATCGCCACTATCGCGTCCGCGAAATTCATGCGGGCACTACAGTCCCGTGACACTACACTCCCGTGATACTAGTCCCGTGACATTACAGTCCCGTGACACTACAGTCCCGTGACACTACAGTCTCATGACACTACAGTCCCGTGACACTACAGTCCCGTGACATTCATGTTCCCTCATTCACATCATTCACGGTGGGACGAACGGATGTGGTCGGAAGTCCTCATTACCTCGTGGCAGTTTAGTTATTTCCTGAGGGAATACTTGGGGCTCAGGGATCGGCCCTATGGACAGATGGACGGATATATGGACAGATGGACGGGCTATGGACAGATGGGCGGATATATGGACAATGGACGGACTATGGGCTGATGGACGTATATATGGACAGATGGACGGACTATGGACTGATGGACGGATCTATGGACAGATGGATGGACTATGGACAGATGGACGGACTATGGACAGATGGATGGAAGACAGATGGACGGATATATGGACAGATGGACGAATATATGGACAGATGAACGGATCTATGGACAGATGGACGGATCTAAGGACAGATGGACGGATCTATGGACATATGTACGGATTTATGGACAGATGGACGGATATATGGACAGATGGACGGACTATGGACAGATGGACGGACTATGGACAGATGGGCGGATCTATGGACAGATGGACGGATATAAGGACAGATGGACGGATATATGGACAGATGGACGGATCTATGGACAGATGGACGGATCTATGGACATATGTACGGATATATGGACAGATGGACACGGATCTATGGACAGATGGACGGATCTAAGGACAGATGGACGGATCTATGGACATATGTACGGATATATGGACAGATGGACGGATATATGGACAGATGGACGGATCTAAGGACAGATGGACGGATATATGGACAGATGGACGGGCAAGAATAATGACAGGTGGACGGAGAAACAGACAAACCAGTGCAGGGATGGACAATCTATGGAAAAGGAAACGGAAAGATTATTGCTGGAACGAAAAACGTTGCGAAATTTTAACCGATGTAAGAATCAACAAAATCGACGATCGGCAATATCGACGATCGACAATATCAACAATCGACAATATCGACGATCGACAATATCAACAATCGACAATATCGACGATCGACAATATCGACGATCGACCATGTACGCCAATTGACAATACCAAAGCCGGTGAGTGTTATTCCTTGCGGTCGGGCCTATATCCTAAAAATCTAGGCCTAGAAAGGCTTAGGTAGTGAACACTAAAATTGAAGCTGCGGTAGGAACCACTTAAGATGACGAGATTGTGTTTAACCTCCTACTCAATGTACAGGACAAATGCGACTAGTTTGCCTAGTCTTATTGTTAGCTTTGGGTTCGTACAGCTAGTAGCACTCAAGGCTTACGCAGGCTTGTTTAAATAATGTGAAATGTGTATAGAAATCGACTTTAACCGAGTTGTGCATGTTAAAAATAAATGTATAACTTCAGTCGCCATATTACTAACGCCGCTTGCCTCGTATAGAATCGATATATTTTATAAACACAACTTCTAGCGAGAGTTGTGTTTATAAATATCTCGCTAAAGTTTCTAGCGAGATCGAAAGTTCGTGGTTATTAAGCTGTTTTCGAAACCTAGAAATCACACTTCTGATTGTATGTTTTTATGAACGAGTGGCGAGTCAAGAGCAGCATCTGCTGAGTGGCGACTCGTGTGTCGATAAATGCATCAAGCGTACGAGGGAAATTTTCTGAAATTAATGCTTAATTTATTTCTTGAAAAAATAGCATGTTATACGAGCCACACAAGTGAAAACTGATATAGTGAGAGTTATAGATTGTACTGATTCTCATCACTCATAACCTACACAGGCCAGCCAAGATTATTGTTTTCTCACAACGCTGTCACTACATCGAAGACATTCTCCATCAACAACAACACTTACTCCTTGACAAATGCATTCATCATTGACCAATGCTTTATAATCAACATTAAGCGAATATTTGAAAAACAATATCATGCTTCCAAGAACTCTAGCGTCACTGTAATGGCGTCGTATGGACAACATCGTACGAAACAACAGTTGTGTCAACACTTGCAGGTTCCCCGTAAATTCTTACACGTGCATTTACTCAGTAAATTCTTAGCTGTCGACTTGAATTGACGCATAAAGGGAATCACTTCAGTGCTGCAGTGTGAGGCCAGGCTTGCATATACGTTCAGTGGAGCTTCGTGTTTGACTGCGTATTTAAAAAGTTCTATATATTTCATTAACAGTTATAAATAACAGTCATATTAACAGTTATATTAACAGTCATATGTACGTCTCAGTGGAGCTTCGTATTTGACACTGCGTATTTTAAAAGTTCTATTTATTTCATTAACAGTTATAAATAACGCTCATATTGACTCCTGTTACTGAGACTGTAAGATACGGCATCAGTAATAACAGTTATAAATAACAGTCATATTGACTGCAGTTACTGAGACTGTGAGATGCAGTATCAGTAATACCTATATTATACTAATAGGTCCGCATAAACATAGATTAATTTAATCACATACATCACTAAGATTGAGGCAGCGAATTGAGGGTTCGAAACCGGCAAGTAGTTGTGAAATCCTGGTCAAAATAGGTAAGGTGTGAAGGCGGTTAAGAATCTGTGAAAGGCTAATACGACCTAATCAAATCAGATATCACTTTATTATATATCTATGTTTAGGGTTTCAAAATTGCTGACAACATTTACTGCCACAAATTTTCATACGGTAAAATTAATACAACGATGAAAGTGTCAACGGTTGCTTATTGTGAATGATATACAGTATAGCGATCATTCACTGATATATTACAATGAGTATCGAAGATCATGAAGCAAAACCATCACAAAACTATCTTCCAGCTAAACACAGTCAAGAACCCAGTAAATTGATGAATGATACGGCAGCCAAAGATAAACACACACAAAAAACATCTTTTTCCGAATTATAATTAAAGTTTAATTATTCTACGGCACATAATTAACGGCATCACACGTGAACTAAATTCTGTCATTAACTATTCTCTTCCAGGTTTACAGGACGACGTTGTAAAGCTTACACGAGATTCTTGTAGCCTTTATCCGTTTTAACAATTGACATCAGCAGTTGTGTTGCATCCCACTAACATAAAATATAAGAACAACACTAGCATCCAAAAACCATTACTTATAAACAGGACTAAGAAGGAGGAAATATATACCCCAGTAAATATTTATTGCAGGAAATATATATCCCAAGGCGCAAGTATGACGTCGCGGAAACTGCTCGCGGTTGTGCTCTTGTCGAGCTTCGTGTGCGCAGCGTGGGGTACCTTCAGTCCCAGACGCATCCTCTTCGCCCAGTGCGACTACCCAGGTGCGTCCTTGTGGCCCTATAGCACAAACTAGTTCAAATTCAGCGTACTTTATTGTTAAAAGTTTATTGTTGCTTCCTTATTTCCATTTTTCAACAATTTTCATACCACCTGAATTTCTAAGTGTTTCCCGTGTTCCTATTAACTTTTCTCATTATTCAACAGTTTATACAATTTCATCGTGTACGGTACTGTAATAAGTGTTCCCGACGTTCCTTCAAATTCATTTTTTAATAATTTTCATACCACGTAAATTTCTAGGTATCCCCCGTTACTATTAGCTTTTCCCAATATTCACCGCTTAATAAAAGGCGCTTATACGAGTTCCTCATATACAGTTCCAAGTGTTCGCCAATGTTCCTAACCATTACCCCCAGAAGAACACTCGGTGAAGCCCAAGGCGGTGTTCATGACCTGCGCCAACAACCGCGGCGTGTGTGAGGTCCGCGCTGGAGGCTCCCACACCCTCAGGGCCATCTTCGTGCCCAGTCAGTATTAATTTATTAATTAATCAATTAATTTAATAGTGCTCAAATAATTTAATAATAGCATTATAGATGAGCTTGTTGAATGTAAAGGTGGGAGACTGGGAGTAGGAAATGCATATCTTCGTGCCAAGTCAGTGATAATTACCTAATTAATCAATTAGTTTATTACTACTCGATTAATTTCATTAAAATATTATAGAAGAGCTTGTTGAATGCAATGGTAGTACCCTATGACTATGAGACTGTGAGTATGAGGTGCAAATCTTCGTGCCCTTGGCCTTGATGAATGATTACATTTGCGCTCAGTGAGTGGAGTGGTGATGTAAGAGTTGCTTAGGTGTAGTCATTAATGAATGTATATAATATCTTATACTAATAATTATATTTCTACGTAGTAAACTTAAATTATGTTATGGGTAATGACCGCGTGAACAATGTTATTACAATTCTGAATTAAGCATTTATTCTCGAATTTTGATTATATCATTGCAGTAATTTATAAAATCATTTGTTGATTGTAACTGTAAGCGATACCAAATGAATGAAACAGTCATTATAGGAACGTCAATAAGTAGATGAAACTGGGGAGTTGGGAGAAGACCACACAATGAAACTATCAAAATAATAATGACAGTTCATTAACACTGTTCAAGTGTTCATGCCTGCTTACGGTTCATTGAACGGGAATCTGCAACGAATAAATAATTACACACGCATGAACAGCAACTAACTTGCAAAGAAAAAAAATGTGAACTGCTCGTGAACAAAGTAGGTTACGGGTTAGGTATTCACCCAGTCACCTTCAAGCCCTTAAGGCGCTGTTCCGTGTTCACAGTTCACAAAACAACATCCACCATGTTTTATTAGCTCATAATATTTAATTACTTTCGGTGTCACAATTCCTGCCACTATCATTGATTTGTGTTATATTGAACAGAACATTAAAACATCCAGTAAACATGTTTCAATAAAATATTTGAATGCAACTCCACACACACCACGACACTCACTCCCCGAGCGCCTCCTCTTTTTCACTGGGGGTCTGGCAGTCTGAGTCTGGTACGTACTGGCATGGCAACGGAGAACATTTTCTCCAACGTTTCAACTAGTCACTAGTGTCTGAACTAACGTCTATTCTTACTTTGTTTATTCTACGTTGATCTTCAATTCAGCTTTTGTATTTATAATTGGCTAGTTTTCTTCATAATCTGATAAGCAATTTTTAATTATAAATGCGGGCTGCCGTTCTTTAAGAAACAGTTCTGAATATAGTTTTCCATTATATGTACCTATATCATTTTGAGAATTTTATTTGCATTTACCTTCATTTTGATTAAAAGAAAGAGTGTTTTGGTATTTCAATTTTTCATTAAAAAAATAAAATTTCACATCAGTTATTAGAGTACAAGTATTGTTTCTATGTTATTAAAATGACACATTTTGGTGTACAGATGTAGTTATTTTAAGGGAACCATAAATAACGAATTTTATTTCATTGAATTTACTATTCAAAAATCTATTTTTAGTCCGCATGAAAATTCAATAATATTTAAAAAGTCCCGTTTTCGGATAGCTCTCTCTAAAAGGGTGAGACTATGTTATATAGCGAAGCACTTTTACCCTTGTGCAGATCATCTAGACCTAGTTAAGCGAGGCAAAAGATCGTATCAGTACTATGTGCAAAAAGTGTGTCACTATTAGGATCATATGATCAATTTGTATTTCTGGATTCCAGAAATCAACTCATCGGACGTTGACTCGTACGTGCGTTGGAACTCTTGGGTTGAAGTTCAGTTGCCGGGACAGAACAGAGATGCGTGCGGTGAAGCACTGACCTGCCCTGTGGTTGCCAACGACATCACGCGGTTCACCTACAACCTCGACATCCAGAACTTCTGGCCCAGGGTTACTATCGATAACTTTTATATTTATTATTATGCATATAATGATGAAATATACTTGATAATTATGATACTAATGATGAATCAGTGATGATTCAAACCTCGACATCCAGAACTTCTGGCCCAGGGTTACTGTCGATAACTTATATATTTATTATTAGGTGGTCTTAATTATGCATATAATGATGAAATATACTTGCTAATTGTGATACTAATGATGAATCAGTGATGATCCAAACCTCGACATCCAGAACTTCTGGCCCAGGGTCAATGATCAAATATTTCGTTAGTTGTTCTTATTCTATTTAATTATGCATGAAATTATTGAATAAAAATTTGTCATTGTGATAATAATGATAATAACTTGAGGTTTGAGAATTCAAATGACAAGAAACTAAATATGTTGCTTGCCCTCTAAGAACTTAAACCAGTGGTTAAGATGTCATGAAGACAATTTTTGCTATTCCTGAATTTATCACCTTCACGCTGCTATCCTCACGCTGCTATCCTCACGCTGCTATCCTCACGCTGCCATCCTCACGCTGCTATCCTCACACTGCTATCCTCACGCTGCTATCCTCACGCTGCTATCCTCACGCTATCCTCACGTTGCTATCCCTCAGGACGAATATCCCGTCATATGGTCGTTGACTGACCGAGCCACGGACCAAGAAATCGTCTGTTTCAAGTTCCGGATCAACATCGTCTGATCAACATCGTCTGATCAACATCGTCTTCATCTACGTGAAATTAATCACCAATAAACTAATCAACATGAAATTATGGAATATTAAATTCATTTAATTCAAATTTGCCATCATAGAACTTATTTATCCTGCGAAATTATCCTGATCAAAATAAAAGTTATCAAGTTGGAGTTGATCAAAATGATATTCATCGTCTTGATCCTTATTAATATGTTATTAATCAAAATTATGTTCATCAACATTAAAAAGAAAAATTATCTTTAGTGCAGAATCACAACGTCGATAGCTTTTATTATTCAGGAGCTTCATTATATTGTGGTGTCTTTTCTTAATACATTCATGGTTTTTATGATGATGATTGTTTTTTATGAGCTAGAACCATGACATTAATCGTGTCAAAAAGATACATAAAAAATATTTTTTAGTTCGATACAACAATCGTAGATCAAAACATCATAAAAATGTTAAGTAAAATGACATTTTTAATGAAGAAATCTTAATAAGAGTATGATGACAATTGGTGTAATGGTATTAAAAAATACGCGAATGGCAGTTGAGGCAGCCATTTGTATTTAGAGTTGCATTAATCGTAATCATTAGTATTTTCATTTATTAATAGTCATAGATATTATTATAAACAAACCAGAATACCCGAATATCAATCTTCAAAATTTTAGCTTTACCAACTCGATGTATTTTCCTTGGTATAAATTAAAAAATAGTTTTATGTGAACCATTTATGTTCAGAACTTTCGCGACAAGTAAGATGTTCAGTCCAAGAGAACTTTTACTCACAAATCTTGGAGTATTATTTTGTTGTGTTAAAAAATATGAACAGCTCGTTGGTTTACAATTTTTTAATTATTAAATATATATTTTTTATTAATGGTAACTTTTAGCTCAACTGATTCGTTTGTAATAATGGAATAGAAGCCCCCAAATATGAAAATAACATTTTTTTATCAAAATCACTCGACGTCGTAAATCGCAAATTAAGTAAGAAGCCACAAACGTAGAATTTTTTATTGAATTACGACGTTATGAATGGCTGTCGAACCCTGTAATTTCCGAACATGTGACAAACTATTTTATAAAATAAAATATATTGGATGCACCGTGTCCAGCGGTTTATTTTCCGTTTACCGTAAGAAATTACTTTAAACAAGCACAATTTATATTGTCTCAAAAAGTTATGGCTTAAATCACAACATGTTTTGCCAGCAAATCTTGACCACATGCCACGATGCATGGATATAGGAATAATTTTTGTGCAATTGAGAATTATGTTTGATAAAAAAACAGCTGGTATTCAAAATAAGTTAAGAAAAGTGTTCAAATCAACGTTTACAATTGAATACCTATATAAATGAAAATAATTTAATCAAAAATCTCAATTAAAGAACCGGGTTTAATGACTGCTTTTAAAATATTAACGAATGCTGACTTTCAAACATTACTTTTAATATCAGAAAATATCGAGCATCTTCATCTTAAACTATTTGATGAAGTTAGAGGCATCCTGTGCTCTACTTTAGAGCTGTGAAGAATAACAAGTCTATGGGATAGAGTAGGTCAGTTCAATGTAAAATAGGCCAGTTAAATGTAAGCAACGCCTTGTCATCATTCCACGTTATTGCATAGAGTTCAGCGAGAAAAAAAAACGGATTTAACTTGTCTTCGGTTGCCACCTTTTTTGGACAAGGCTCCTCTTTGATTAAGATAGCGTTCCGCAATACATTTTTTGTTCAGTAATAATAATTATTTCCATCCGGAGAATATTAGGATTGTATTTTCATGCAATTTATCAAATAGACTAACAAACAAATTATATGCCATTGACAGGTGGATCGAAATAAGCTAATTGTGGGCTGAAAATGAGAATTTGAAAAGCGTTCATTTTTCTGATTAATGATACTTCTTCAGAATAATCAGTTGCATGAGTGTGTCTGTGGATTTCTTGTTAAACGCTGATCAAAATTTACAGCAATTCGATCCACAATTAAGCTCATTCTATTGCGTTCAGCGCTTTTAATTCATATGGTTTATTTAAATAAATTATTGTCATCTTGGGGCACAAAGGGAACAAAATTTCTCCGCTGTTTCCCACGTGCTCTGACTGCTCTCTATTTTAAAGAATGGAACGTGGGACGGATGAAGTGAAATCGGTTCGCAGTCTGCAGCTGCTGTTCAAGCGATACAGGTGCTGGTGCTCGTCACCGACGCAATTCAATTAAAAGTTTCGAAGAATTTGTCATTCGATTGTATTAGTTCACCAGTTGAATCAGGTGCGTACTTTAAGTTTAACATAATTTTTTTGAGACAATTGTTTTTCAAGAAAAATCTAACAATGAAATTAGCCTTTAGGTACTTGAAAGTTGTAGGTAGCTACTCAATGTACCTAGGTCCTAGGCTATTGTTGATCCAATCTAAAAATCATAACATTTCAGTGAATTTTGTAAATTGTAATCCCGCAAGTCTAAAGTCATGTATTTTGATTTTATCAGAAGTATTGTGCTAATGAATACGCAATTCCAAGTACTAAAATATTTCTGTTGCTATATTTAGAATGAAATGAGAGATTTGACTTACTGGCCTATATTGCAAATTAGGATTTCATACTACCTAAAAAACTTATTTTCCAATTTCCATCCATGGGTTTGAAAATGGATTCATTTTTCAAGAAAAAAATCTGGCTTGTATAAATTCAACAACAACAACAATCTATACTTCTGCCACTGGCACTGAGCAAAGCAAAGTGAGCATATGAATAGTTTCATTTCCAGTTTTGCTTATGGTTTTTGCACATTTCACAAATTCACATAATTGACAATTGACATTTAGCTACTATATTTTTGGAAATCATCTTTGAGAAGGTTTTCACTTTCCAAATGAGATTATTTATGGAAATTATCTTACCTACTATTCTTAATAGAAAAATGCTCAGAGCTCAGCCAGAGTGCCAGACCATGACTGGAATAATCTACTATCCAAGTTTCATTCTGGAAAATTAGGCAGAGGCCAACACTACCCAACAGGCCAACAGTTATGTGAAATTGTGAATATGACCAAAACTCATCTGCATGCACTAAATTTTACCATTTTTCATAGACTTTTCCTAATTTCTTTAATTTAAAACATGAGAATATGCACTTTTTGCCTGTAATTTTATGAAATTGATCATGAAATCCACTGTGCAGAGAGTGGATGAATATTGCAAGATCTTTGGCAATGCTTCAGTAGCAAAATTTATGCCTTCAGAACTCAGAAGATCTTACAGACACATTTAGATTGAAATTCTTTCATTTAATATATTTGTCAGTCTTCGGCCAACTATTTAAAAAAAGTAAGGTTTCCGGTATGTTGGATTGATCAGTAGGCAGTGAAGCTTGTCCGGAAATCAGTTGCGATGAGTTCCCACCAAAAAAATGTAAACATCAAGTTTACGATTACGTAGTTGCGGTCACATTAGAGTGGTCAGACTGCATTATCACATATTCAGTTGACACTTGCTGTACAATTGGACTGTTTTTATGGTAAAATTAGTTATTTGGGGTAACACGTGCATGCAACCTTGTAAATAAGTTCGTGGCTTGTAAATAATTTTTCATTACTCAGCGTAAATGGCTTTCCATTAAAAATTACCCGGTGACGCATCTTAAAATTACCCGGCGACGCTTAAGGCTTAAAAACCCATATATTGGCGATGCTGCATCCACCCTCTGCACCATGGCATGAAATGATAGTTTTGTCCATAATTTTCTGAACATTTTTTCAGATATTCCAGTTTAGATCTAGGTCACAAATTTTTGGCCTGTGAGTGTGTTAATTTTTGGTGCCAAGAGTTTTTGACATGCAAGATTTCAAATTGATGCTAAATATTCTACAAAATTCCTACAAACTACAAAGAGTATATAATAATTATTTTCTTTTGAATCTGATAGAATATCTAGCATGATTTTTTCCAAATTTAAAAATATAATTTCAGCAGCTAAGATGTTATTGTTACATGGTTTATTACCCTTTCTGTTAGCCTTTTTAATAAAATGCTTTGTAATACATCATTATGGTAAGAAATTGTCAAGAACTTGTGTCTTTAATATGGTTATATATTAGTCATGCGTGGTACTGCTATGACAGCATATAATTTCATGATGTGCGCAGTGTGCTCACAAGTCACAGCATACTATTCCTTCATTGTTCACTTTTGCTACATCTACATGATACCACTAGTAAATGATGCAACACTAGCAAAACATCTCCCTATAGGGCTGTGACTAGAGCTTTCCTGCCATTTCTGGAACCACAAGATTTCTGCCAGATGAATTACCTCCTATCTAATTGTTAACAAAAGTGCACAAACAGGCCATGAGATTCTAAATGTATTAAAAATTTGTCATGTTGGTGCTGCGATATTTCAGAAGCAAGTAGGAAAATTGCAATATGTGTACATCAATTTTTCTCTCACAGTGAATTCCATTAGTCAAGTGCATCAATTTCTCACATGTTGCATGATAATTGATAACCAATGTTAGTTGTTTAGGCATGGCCTGCTCAGAACTAATGAGAATCCCTTGAGCAATATGGATTGTTGCCAAAAACAATTTTTATTTTATTTAACTAAGTTTTGGGGTATCAATAGAAATGACTTGAGGTTTATGGCTTGTTGTTAATGGAGATAAACTTGAATGATTAAGTCACAATTATTTTGTAATTTCTGAATAGCTGATTCATTCATTTATCAGGAAGAGGATTAATTTCCCACTGGAAAAAACATGTGTGAATTGGGAAGGTTCTTGCAAAGTTAAAAGTTGAGCAGTAATTTTTAAAAAGCTGAATGAATTAAAAACTTAATTTTATACATCCATGTTAAGTTTTGCTCTGTTTGCAGAAATGGCTCGAGGTCACCAAAAGGCACAGTCACAAGCAAAAAACCAGGAGAAGCAAAAGGCATTGAAGAGCAAGCAGGGACACAGTGCCAATGAACAGAAGAAGGCAGCTGCAAAGGCACTCACTTTCCAGTGCCCTGTGTGCAGGGTAAATAACAACTTAAATGCAACTTGAAACATTTTAAATTAATACCTTTGTAATATAATTGAATTCAATGAGTTCAAAGTCATATCTAGTTTTCAAATCCATTACACTAACTGATGCATATTGTTATTTTTTGTATTCCGTAAAATGGGGTAACTTTGACCACTTTTTTTCAAAACAATGCCACTTTTTTACTACATAAGTTAAACTTAAATTGAAACGTGCAAAATACAGGTCTATACTCTAGCTTTACTCACCATAAATTGCTGGCTCCTGCCTATCATAGTTTTGATGTAATTTCAAAAAAAGTGATGGTCTTTGTTACCCCAGCTCTTGGGGTTTCTTTGACCGGGTGGTAAAATCAATTTTATTTTTTAGTAAAATAACTCCGGGTTGTGGTGCATTGTAGTAGAACTCTTCTAGCTGCATATGCAAAAGACAGATTTTAGGAAAGTGTCATAGTTTGCAAATGAGGGTGCTGCCCCCTAATGGGCGAAATGTGACCACCTAATTGAAGCCGTGACGGGGTAACATTGACCGGTTTGGAAATTAAGTTAAAATTACCATATATAAGACTCTGTAGAGTCTGAAACATAATGAAAAAAACATCAATAGGTGTATCAAACATAAAATATGTTATATAGGTACCTATGGTAATTTTAACTTAATTTCCAAGCCGGTCAATGTTACCCCGTCACGGCTGCCATCAGGTGGTCAAAGTTCCCCCATTGGGGGGCGGCGCCCCCCATTAGCAAACTATGACACTTTCCTAAAATTTGTCTTTGGCATATGTAACTAAAAGAGTTCTACTACAATGCATCAAAATCTGGAGTTATTTCACCAAAAAATAAAAAATTGAAGGGGGTACTCCGACAGGCTTTAAATAATAGCTCTTTTTTGTGGGTCACATTATTAATTTTTTACCTATTAGATATGCAAACTTTTTAAATCTTTCTATTGTGTTCGTAGCCTCAGTATTAGGCCTTAGTGGTCAAAGTTACCCTGCCGGTCAAAGTAACCCCATTTTACGGTTCTTCATTTAGCCTTAGAGTAAATAGTCAAAATCATGTTAATTTTCTTGGACACTTCAGACAATTTTCATAGATATTTTTTGCACTTAATCATTCTTTATTTAGATTTGATAAGGTTATGCCATGAGCAGGGCCTGATGCCAGACCCCAAGACTTTCAAGCAGCACTTTGAGAACAAGCATCCTTCCTCCCCCATGCCTGAGGAGATCAAAGATGCTTGATGGCTCTACAAAGTAGCTCTGTGCTGCCAACCGGGAGAACGATGTTATGTTCAATGTTTTTCTACTTTCATTCATATTATCATCAGTTTTTTTCCTGCTCCACCTTTAGCTTTAATGTTATTACTTCTTCTCGTGGTCACATATGATCTACATTTCAGTGTTGTCTTCATGGTGTTGTCGTGTGTAGTTTGCGTGGATTCTAGCTTATCTGCTGGTGGTTGTGATATAATGTCTCTGGCTACTCTTCTGAGTTGTGGCACTTGGACTAACAATTTTTTTCGTATTTTAGGAGATTTCTGGAGACAAATTTGGATTGTTCTTTGTATGTCCAATAACACTTCATTGCTCCTTTTTATTTTCACTGATCATCTGCTCAAATCAACTTTCCATTCCATCGCTGGGGCTGACTTAGCCGTAATTGATAGACATTGTAAAGTTTTTGATGAGATTCTCCGGATTGTAATTCAGAGTAGAGGAATTAGGCGGTGGATTTTTCTCCCATGTAGATCATTCTGGAGCGTCTTGTGTTTCTCTTCTTGTCTATCTTGCCAATCATTTCATACCAGACATGGACTCTTATAATGAAAGCCTGGTTTTCTCATCAAAGTTCAATTTCCGAGTTCAAAGTTGAATTATGTCTTCTTCTAAATAAAAAATGACTCGACTATGCGGAATACCAATTGAACGATCGAATATTTTATGCATTTCTAGGAGTAAACTTGTTGTAGATTGCATGGTTGGTGAGGCTTGTCTGGCTAACCTAATGTTTCCTTGTGACTCCCTTGTTCATCAGTTATCATTGTTTATGTATCATCAGGAATGTCAGATGTCCATTACAGTCTACATTTCCGTTAAGATATGCAATTTATTATCTTGATGCTTTCCAAGGCTCACTGACTCCTGACTTTTAATTTTTGAAACTACAGTATTTTTTTTACCTGGATATTGACACGATTGACGCAGAAGTGTCTTCAAGATTTCTAATGGTCCTTTTATATAACTTGGATAATTTCATGATGAATGCCAAATTTTGTCCTAGAAGGCAATTTTTAATCAGAAAATATGTACTTGTCGATTCCTGGCTAAATGATTGCTCCTGTGAATCTGATTTCAATTTTCAATGAAATTAAGGCCATTAATTCCACTTACTCAGATCGAGCTGATTAAATTTAAAATTTGCCATTCGTTTTCATTGTCATCTCCATGTTTTAGGATCTCCATTTAGTTTATAAAAATTGTCATGTTGCTGCTCGAAGTGTTGTTAGTGCTTTACAAAGCTGCAGGCTCTTGTTCGTCGACGCGACAGAGCATCACGGTCACCTACTCAACCAAAGAATTAAATTACGTTTTTATTTAAAAAGAAAGTTAATTAATCTCTCAGTGGTAAGCGAACGATTTTCCATTTATAATATGAATGGAAAAGCTTTAAAGATACATTGAACTGGTGAGAGCTCGTTGCTCAGAATGGACCTTGAAGCGGTCGAGACTCGGAACAGATTAGAGGAAACAAGTGGAAAATTTTCCTTATAAAGTTCTAGTATTTTTGAGATTGGCATTTGGCATTGCCTGAATTTGCTTGTAACTGCAATATTTGCATATTAAGAAACTCAACTACCTACTACAACAACCATCTTTACTCAATTTATTGCAGTAGCTCATTGTTGCGAGAAGAAAGTTAAACTGAATAAATCAAATTCGATTCTCGGTTCCTGATCTCTTTGGGCTAAATCATAGCAACGAATTTAATTTTCAAATCCACCTCATCTAATCGATTGTTTCAAATTTCGTAGAAAATAATGATGTAATTGCTCGCATCTAATACGCGAAAATTCAAGATTCGCTTCGAAAAAGTAAAATTGGACACCGTAATTTTGACACTCTCGTATCCATGATGCGACTCGACTGCCCATAAGTCGGCGTTCGATCGTCTAAGATCAATTGTCTTCTGTCGTCTCATCGAAAGCACGAAATAATCCAGCTCGAAACCATGCCTCTGAAAATGAACAACAAGAAAGCTTCCTGCAAGGAAACAGTTGACTAACGTCAGAGAAGCAAGTCTGAAACTCAAGCGCCTGTCAAGTCCAGTGATTCATAGAGCACCGAAAGATCTAAATATGTGCCTAAAAGCAAGAAAGACAGCAGCAGGAAATAGAAGCTGGAAAGTCAAAATTCTAGCGATAGTTCGCAGGAGGCGTATGATGCACCATCTAAAACTGTTAGCCCAGCCAACGTTGTTGATTGTGATCTGGAAATAAAGAAAGCGGTCGACGTTGCGGAATCGCTGAGTTTAGTTTCTGAGCTGAGTGTCGTCTGCTGGAGCCAAGATCTCGTTGACCAAGAAGAATTCGCGTCGAAATGCGAGTCTCTGATACCACGGAGATCAGTGCCAGATGCTTGTGATAAACTCACGGGAGTATCATGCAGCTCGAACCGTTGCGGCAACGGAGGGATGAAGAAAAGCAACGCTGAGTCCTACAATGCTAAGCTACGCCAAGCGATCGCTGAAATTCAAGCGCAAATTGACGAGTTTGAGAAGCAGAGGCAATGTAAACTTGAGCAACAGCAACGATATCAAATAGAATACTGCGATGTGGCTAAACAACTCGAGGAGAACCAGCAGAAGTTGCTGTCAGCTACCGACGAAAATCGATGTCTTCAAGCGAAAAACACGAAGCTCCAAGATGACGTCATTGCCACGAGGAAAGCGGCCAAAGATGCTCAGCGCGACCTGACTAATGCCGTGAAGGAGACCGAAGAACTTAAGAATCATCTCCACAAGATCGGCAAAACGTTCACGTAAAACTACGATAAGCTGAAGTGCGACATTGACGAAATTCGCTGCCAGTTCCCGGCGTTGAAATAGCGCATAGCTGCGCTCGAGGCTGAGGTGGAACATGCTTTGAAGCGACTAGAAAAGTAACAGAAAACGTACGATGATGAACAGCAAACTTTAGCTAAACTTCAGGAGCAATTGAAGGCAACTGAGGAGGAAAAATAATGCGTCAGCGAGAAAATTGCGAAGCTCTCAGAGGAGATTGAGAAGAAAAAAGCAATGGTGCGAGAGATCCGGCAAGCCAGGAAAGCTGGGGACAAACTTTTGTGCGATGTGCGACGCCAAACCGACGAACACAACACCTAAATTGAGGTGCTGGCGATAAGCTTGAAAGGCAAGCAAGATATCCTAGAATTTCTGACTTGCGAGGTGGAAAGACTACGAACGGAATCTACCAATCTGCAACGAACTGTGGCTGCCAAAGAAGGATAAGCTGAACGACTTGAGTGCATTTTGTTGGATCGCTAACGGGACGTAGAGCAAGCCAAGCTGGAGCTGAAGCAAGTGCAGCACACGTTACAGCAACTATAGCAACAGTGTCGTTCTAAAGCCACCATTATAGCGGCCACTTCTGACATGAACTCGTGTGCTAATTCGAATCTGTGATGAAGGATTGCAAAGGTTACACGGTGCGAGCGGGTCCGATGGATTTTAAAAAACAGCTTTCGATGTAGGACAATAAAATGTTTTATTCTTGGAGTTGAGGACTGGCCATTTATGAAACCAAAATTTGAAGCTGTGCCTCATTTTGTTGCGTATTATAAGCTTTGAATAAATTCTTAGGGAGATTTTGCCTTTTTGATTGATTTTAGTACACTTTTGCCTGCTGGAATCGTGCTGTTAAATTTCATGTAACTTTACTCAACTTTACTCTCTGTTTTCGTTGTACTTCAGTCGCTTCTATAAAGTAATGAATTTTTATTCAACGTGTTTTTATGACTCGCCAATGAGTTACCTGCGATATATGAATGAATATTGTGGTTTATAATAAAGAAGAGCCACTCACTATACCAGCCGAATTAAGAAAAATAAATCCACAGTAAAAACTTGTTGGGACAATAACTTATTCGAAGTACTCGTGGGGAAAAAGTTTATTCAACATTTTCTTCAACCCATTGCACTTCATTTCTTCAGTTATCCCTCACCGATCAGGTTTTCAGCGCACGGGAAATAATCTTTAATCAACCGATATAATTTTCGATTATTTCTTAATTTGCATTTATAAATATAGTCTTTTGGTGAACAAATATAATGCAATAGATGATTCACTAGCCGGTCACGAATAAAGTGCTTTTAAATATAATGTACATTGTACATACAAAATTGATTAATGACCAATGGCTACTTATAATATGATGCTTTTGATGTAATATGTTTTAAACATGAACAATGAATAATCTAACATAATCCCCCTGAATTTAACAAGCCTTACTATTTTTTACAACAAATATACAGAAAATACAGACGAAAGCCTTTATACAACTACAATTCTCTTATATTTGCTCATGAGTCTGTTCTCCGTTTATATGTTTCTCGTATACACAGAGAAATCAATGAGGCTTTGTCCAGAGCGCAATGCACTTTTTGCCTACCTGTGGGTCATCCAGACTCAGTTTGCCCCGGCAAAAGGGCGTATCAGTGTTACAACCGCTCTTTGCTCGTGCTGTGGGACTGAAAGTGTGTCACGATTTGGACGATACGACTCATTAATTTTTCTACGTGTAGCTGGCAAGTTTGATTGACATTTGGCAGTATATTTTTCTTTTTGAAAAATGATTTATTGAATATTTTTTTCACAAATTTCACATGAACTAACATGAAATGTACGGGTAACCTAAACATAGGTACAAAATTCATGGGTATGTAGTGGCGCAATTCGTTGCTAGAATTATGCATGCATTATTATTTATTGCTTAGTGAAATGCACATGAAAATTGAATGTATAAATTTCTGATGAATTAAACACGAGTTGTCCGGTCCACTGTACACTTGAGATGTGAACGGAAATTTGATACCAACCCGAAAAAAAAACTTGGCGAGTTTTCATTTTACGGAATGTTGGAGGGGTGATAAATATAACTCAATGAACTGATGATGGCACGATGATGTGTAAAATACTTCGATGATGGTTTGATGAGGTTAAAATGGTACAATATGGTGATCAGGATACAAGAGGATGATCAGGGTACAATAGGGTGATCAGGGTGCAAGTAGGAGGTGAGGTATATATGGGTATCAGGGTACAGAACGATGATCAAAATACAGTATGGCGATCATGGCAGAAGAAGATTCAGGGGCCAAGGCAGGCTGTCTCTGAAGGGTACTCCGTCAGGAAAATATCTATTGAAATTGTTCATGAAATCCAGCCAATCGTTGGCAGAGTCTGGGCAGCGGGGGTACATGGCCTGGCAAGTGCCCGCCCTGCTGGTGTACCCCATGTACGCCGCGTGGGTGTACGGGTGGAATGAGTACCCGTCCATGAGGTTATCCAGTAAACTGGGGGAAGACAAAGTGAAGAACGTAAATGGGTGAATACTGTTGGTAAATACTTATTATTTTGCATTGATTAGTCCTGTGTTAGTCATCAGAAAGGAGGCGGAGGGGAAGCCAAGTGAACGACAACTGAGGATGATCAACATATTATTAGATAAATACCTAGTATTTCTGCATTTTATAAATCCTGTTTTAGTCATAATGAGCAAATATTTTTATAATCGATTGGAAAGCAATGATAGATATCGGTATCAGCTAGTATTAGAACGTTTTTATTTAAATGGCACTTGTATTCAAAATCCACTCATACGAAAAAATAGACAATTTCAGAGTCTCACCCAAGAAAAGTTTTCGCGCTCCATCCATTTATGAAAGAGTCTAAAAACCGTGCCCTTCTTCCAGAAATTTTTCTTCCTGAAAAACTAGACGTCCCGTTTCTGGCCGCCTCTTTGAGAACCTCCCTGTTGATGGCCTGAATACGGGATTTGATCACTTCCAAGTCCTCCCTTGTCAAAGTCTTCACGTCCGACGGGCCTTCCGCTTTACTTTTAGCTTTACGAGTCCCCGTTTCCCACATGGGAGATATTTTCGCTTGCCTTGAACCTCCTCGGGAAGATCTTTGCGCTTTGGAGGTTTCTACTTTCTGCTCCTCCCTTCCGTTGTTCTCTTCAGCTGTATCCCTTCTATTCCTCCTCACTGGCCTCTGTGGTCGATTGGTTCGTCGTCTTCTTTGTGAACCAAACACGTTGTTCACAAATCGGCGCCATCTTGGCACTGCTGTGGTTTGAGGTGCATGGTGTGGTGGTCTGTTGTGGTACTCATGAGGTTGTTGATAGACGTGGTCAGCCCTCTGGTGCTGCTGGTGGCTTTGACCAATCTCCCTCTGTTGTGGCTGACGGTGATGGTATTGATGGGGGTGCTGTTGGTAGTATGTGTGGTACTGATGAGAGGGTGCTGCCTGTTGATACTGTGGTTGTGATGGTGGTGGTGGTTGTTGATGTTGAGGTAAATAAGAGGACTGGGAACTCTGGTAGTCGTAGGGCGCCTCCCTCCTGATGTAGTTATCTTGGTACTCCTGCCGCCCCTCGTTGTACTGATCCTGCGAAGAAAGAAGCTGCTGATTTAGGATTTTTTGAACAATCGGCATAAATCATTTATATATTTTCACATTATTTGAAGTGAAAAAATATGGAAGCAATGCCAGCATTTTATCTTCATACCAAACGCTGATACATCTTCATACAAACGCTGATCACCCACACAATGGCAAGTATAGTGTCTCGCTCCTTGGACCAAGTCTCACTTAGTCCTCTGAGATGCTCTCACTTAGTCCTCTCTGATGCTGGTGTGCACGCTACAACGTACCCTAATGCCATAACGTACCTTAGATACGAGGTACTCGACAGGTCCGCGCTCGTGTTGCCGCTCGACGGGGGTGGGGATGTAGTACGGCAGAGGGGGAACTGCGGGCCTCTGTTGGGGCCCAGCCAACTGCTGTTGGGGGACCAACTGCTGTGTTGGGAACTGCGGACGAGTCTGTTGCTGCACCTGTTGATAAACCCATGATTAGGTACATCCCCGTTTAGTACATCCATGATTAGGTAATCCATGATTTTCGCGTATGCCAACTGGAACTCTTCCATCAAAAATAGTCAGGAGTTCAGCCAATCACTAATGGCTTTTTAAACTTTTCCCACTACTCAAAAATAAGAAATCAGTCGCTACACGTACTTTTAAAAATACGAATTTTGAAAGTGGCGCTCCTGGCTCTGAAATTATTATTGATTTTTTTGGGGAGCTATATTAAGACAACATTTGATGTCTGAATACCTGTTGCTGGATGAGGTTCTGTTGGTGTGCCTGGTGTTGCAAGAACTGTTGTCGGTGGGGACTGTTGAATTGATTTAGGACGTCCGATGGTTCTTCGCCAGAGTTCGGCAGGAAGTTCGAAAGCAGCGTAGTTTCCCCTAACTGTTGCAAAGTTTGCACGCCGTTCAGAATCGTGTCTCTGCAATATAAATGCAGATGTAATGTATGAATTATGTTAAATTATTTTGAAGTTTTGACGTTATGTTAAATTATTCATAAGTTATTTTGAATTCTTTTGGATTTATGTTAAATTAATAAAAAGTCATGTTAAAAACCCTTCGTAAACTGAAACTTTTCTATTCCTTTTTCAATGAAAACGTAAATAATTTGCATAAAAAACCGCATCCGTAATGAAAATTCCTAGAATCTTTCATACTCTAGGCAACATTCCTGAATTACTTGCAGATTCACTTATATGAATAAATCAGTAAACTAGTTATAAATATATATTGAGGATTCAAAGGACTACCCAAACTGAAGCAATTAATTAGTATATTATATACAGTATATTATGTCCTGTATATTATATACTGCATATTGAATATACGCACCCCAAGCCAGGCCCATCCTCGTCCCCCAGGGGCGCCGCTATCTCACACATGACGCGCTCGAGGCAGTTGAAGCGGTCGAACCGCGGCACAGTCGACCTCAGGATGTCGTCCAGACCTTCCAGGGCTCTGGAGGGGGCAGGGGTCGTACTGTGATATGTGGTACCATGGTATGCGTATGTGGCAGGGCTCTGGGGGAGGGGGATGATGGGTCGTACTGTGGTATGTAGTGTGGTACTGTGATATGTGGTACCATGGTATGTGGCACAATGCTATGTGATACTGGTATATGTTCAAAGGAAGACATACTACTTACTGGACTTACTGGCCCTACTGAGCTCTGGGCAGAGTAGTGGTATGATGATGTGCGGTACCGTGTTATGCGTGTGGTACCATAACATATGATACCATTATACGTATGTGCGTGGTACCATGTTATGTGGTGCCATAATATGAGGTACCATGATACGAGGTAGCAAGATATGTTCGCAATTCGGCACAAAGGCACCAATTGCTCAATATTAGGTATCAGTATCACGAATGTTATAATAGTGAAAATTTATATGAAAAGAGTTCTCATTATAACGATGTAAAAATATTGCTTAGAATAGCTCTTAACTAATTAACTTCAAAATTTACAGAATTAAGAATATCCTAAATGAATAATTAAACTACACTAATCCCAATTTACACAAAATGTATAATAATTAAATAATGTATATAATTATATATAATTAATTAATTAATAGCTACATTAGATCGCGATCTTAAATTGTATTGCAAAAGGTAAGAATTTATTTTTATGGGACTATAACAGAAGATGGATTTTTACTCGTGTAGAATAGTTTTAATTTTAGATATAGTGAGGAAATTTGCTATTCTCGGCCCCGAAAACTCGAATTCTAAATGGATTGCAATATTTTTGTCATTCACCTCAGTCCATCGGGCATCAAATTTGCAAGTGAAAAGCCATCGGACGCCGGGCGTGTCGGAGCATCCGCCTTATCAACTACAGGTTTAGAATTTTCAGCTTTTGTAGCAGACGACGATTCTTCTTCATCTTTTTTAGTAGTCGCTGACTGTGGTGTTGGTAATATGCTCCCCAGTGCCCGTAGAGTTTGCATCAAAATGTTGCTGTCGCGTCGTAGGCTGCGTCCTTCTGTATCAGGATAAGAGTTCTGTAAAACGGATCTTTGTGGACTTTGAACTTGGGCAACCGCGTCGAGATTTTCCGGACTGGTTGACTTTGGCCAGACTTTTTCTTCCGATGTTCGGGTTCTTGATTCTAGCCGCGGAATGGACGAGTCAGGTTCTTCTGCGGATGATGGAAAGACAAATTTAGATTTCATTTGAGAATCTCGACGTCCTCTTACAGAGATTGGACTATGTTCCGACGTTCGGGTTCTTGATTCTAGGGGCGGAATGGACGAGTCTGATTCTTCTGTGGATGATGGAAAGACAAATTTAGGTTTCTTTTGAGAATTTCGACGTCCTCTTACAACGATTTGACTATGTTCCGACGTTCGGGTTCTTGATTCTAGGGGCGGAATGGACGAGTCAGATTCTACTGTGGATGATGGAAAGACGAATTTAGGTTTCCTTTGAGGATCTCGACGTCCATTTACAGAGATTTGACTATCTGCCACTGCAGGAAAATACAAATAACCGTGTGAAATAACTATGACTTTAAGGCGTGAAAAATAAATATCAGCATAGACAGAAAAAATGTTACATTCGAATTTAGTGGTAACAGGCTTAATTACGTAATATGCGATATCTTTTAGCAGATTTTGTGCTGTGCCGAAAAGATGATCGGTCGTATCACATCACATAGAGGGGAAATTTATATATTTTTATTTGGCTTTTTAATTGTCTTTAAAATTGCTATATGTGAATGCTGTTAGTGGGAAAGCAGTAATGATAAAAAATTAGTAAATATAATAAAGCATTTACTGACAGAAAAGCTTAGGACTTCTCGTACAACTCAGGGAATTGAAGGAGTTAGGATGTCACACTCGAGACCTGCGTTTATGAGTCATGGCCTATGAGTGTCAGAACGACTCACTCAAGTGCAGCATATTAGGGACCTTAATGAGTCTTTTGACCCACTCATTAATCTGAGTATAGAAACAAGGGTTAGTTAGCAGGAAGCGATTCTGTCAGGCTCAGGTTGGTGTCAGTGAATTAAGGATTCAGTGGAATCAGGATTTAGTGGATTCAGGATTTAGTGGATTCAGGATTCAGTGGATTCAGGATTTAGTGGATTCAGGATTCAGAGGATTCAGGATTCAATGGATTCTGGATTCTAAAAACACAGGTTTCAGTGTATTCAGGATTCAGTTTTAACTAAAAATTATTCGCAGGTTTGGAGTCAGAGGTCGTATTAGTGTCTTGTTTTTTTCCTGCCTGGGCGATGCATAAAGTCGACTTCTGGCCATAATATCGTATTAAATAAGGCCTTCAAAAACCGTCTGTAGAATTTGCAATCATATATTGCGAGTCTCCGCTCAGCCGCTGTTTATACGCCTATAGTTGGAGACCCGTTGAGACTGATGTAAGTGACTGTCACCCTCCACGACTTGCGTAAGTGACTGTCATCCTCCACGACTGGCGTAAGTGACTGTCATCCTCCACGACTGGCGTAAGTGACTGTCATCCTCCACGACTGGCGTAAGTGAACGTAAGTGACTGTCATTCTCCACGACTGGCGTAAGTGACTGTCATCCTCCACGACTGGCGTAAGTGACTGTCACCCTCCACGACTGGCGTAAGTGAATGTCAATCTCCATAATTGACATAAATCTGTTAACTTCCAAGCGTTGAAATTGTTGATGGAAACTCCCAGTGTTGAACTCTTATTGCAAACTTGAATTGTAAGCTGATGTTCAGGATTTTTTTATCGGGATGTGTCATTGTGAGAGCCTTACTATTCTCTAATAAGATGTCGAAAATTCAAATGAAACAGTGGGTCAAAATATCCCACTGAAGTGAGTCATTATAAGGTATGCCTCAAAAATAAAAAATCAACATACTAATGCGCGTGAGTCGTTTTGATTCAATAAAGTTTCTTCGTTTGTATGATTTCGGACGAGTTCGGTGGACATTACGTGATTGACAAAAACATTGCGTTTTCATTTAAATGCGAATTTCACTCAGTTTGGGCATTCGTTTTGATTAACCGCTTTATTGCGCCATCTCTGTAATGTCATAACTTGAAAGTAATAGGCCATTTGCTCACATTGACTTTGATTGATAACAACTTTTCCATAGTAATATTAAGCGATCAAAATTTTCAGAAATCCGACTATTTTCAATACACGTAACATAAAAGTACATATAGGTTGTCAAAAATTAAAACTATTCCTACTTTCGTAATCGTAGGATAAATTTAATTTTATATTATCTCTAACTTTTTTAACTATAACTTTAAACTTGGAACCCACCCCAGCACTTGTCTCAGTCTGTCATCAGGAGTCTTGGCGCTACCGAACCTGTCGATAAATTCTTGCGCCCTCGTCCACCAACTACCAAATTCTCCGTTGTCGAGGTGGTTCGTGGGTTCGTCTATGGTTGACGTCGAACTCGGGGATCCGAAAAAGTTCTCCAACCATTTCGGTAGCCCCATCATCGCGGCTAGGGAGTTTCGGAAGTCCGGAGTTGCGGACGACTGAGTTTGGTCCGATTTTTTGGTCTCTGTCTCTGTCCTGCTCGCTGGTTAGTTATACGTCCGGGAAGGTGAGAAGGAATTTCGGTTATTAAGGGTTAGTTGGATGCATAAATAAAGTTAGATATTTAAAATATTAGAATCTTGTACTTATTTGGGTTGCATGGAAGCATCGGAGGGTTCGGTGCGTATCATATCATATTAAGTTAATGGTTCATAACAGGCTTTTCACTCAGAAAAATGAACGGGTTATACTGTTGAAACAGTGACACACTTTCTAATAATAGCACTGAAGTGCATCGAAATTTGAAAAAAGTCTCACTCATTTCTCTGAGTGCGGGATTGTCAAAAAGCAGGAAAATATTTATTATATCTAAGTGAGTTAATTGCGGGCAGAAAACCTCAAATAAAAGTGGGGTGCTCAAATTCATCGTCCAACTAAGTTTTTAATAAGAATGAAAATCTCTGCGTGTTAAGTAATAACCTAACATTATACCTATTGCTGCATTATTTGTATAAATTTTGTTAGTTAAGCTGAAATCAAGGATAAGAACCGGCAATGTTCTTGAAACATAGAGGCTCTAAACAAATTCATGTTCACTGAAACATACATTTTGCCAATCGGCAAGAATATAATTGCATAAACATTAGATATCACTGTTATTAAATTACAATTCCTGTCTCGCTTCTTGGTTGATCGTTGACCGATATTTATAAGTTTTTTTTAACATCGTACAGAGAAAAATTGTGAAATTTTTCCAATTAGCGATGAAATTTTTTCCTTCTGTAGATTATCTTGACCGAGTTTGGCTCAGCAAAAGGGCGTATCAGTGCTACGTGCAGAAAGTGTGTCACTATTTGGACAATATGACCGATCCATTATCATGAGTGCGAAAATAAATAGTAATTACAGAATAATTATGCATTTTAATTGTATAAATTATTCATAATATTTCACACGAATATCCCCCAGCTCACCAGCTTCTGACGCGTATGCTGACGCCAGCAATATCAGGGCTGCGACGGACAGCAGCAGCAGCCGCAGCTGACACATCTGTTAAGAAAAACAAATAAATAATTAAGTTACATAAATCATACACTTACGGAAATAAGTTAGGTTTTGTCCCACTACTTTGGGGCTTTGTCATTTATAGGATAAAAAGGACATTGACTATATTTTTTCGCCGTAGGTTGGAATGACTTTCACTGTAACTTAAAACGCATTAAAAAGACACAGAATTCATTTGATTATGGGTTAAAATTACAGGAAACTACCAAAATCTTTATAATATGGGAAGAATTACTTTCACTGTTAGCCTAAAATGCTGTTACAGAACAAAATAAATGTTACGGTGGATATTAAATACATTAAAGAAGCCACAGCTTTCAACTTCGTTTAGAATAGCAATCAATTTAGATAATAATTCCGGGCGCTTTTACGCAGTAATGGAAAAGAATTCAACTTTTCAGGTTAAATTCGCGAATATTCGTCAGACATAATAACCGAAGTCAATAAAGTATAGTCGTCATCTTAAATTCATCCACTAATATACATTGAACTAAAAACATTAAAGTAACTAATCAAGATCTCTAGAGCAGAGTGTTTATTAACTAATATATTGATTTAAATCAAAGAAATTTATTAATTAAATAATAATGATGAGAATAAAGTGAGCGGGGGCGACAGTGAAAGGTGAATGCAGTGAAAGTCACTCAGCGCCTGGCGACGTAACGAGTTCACGTAACGCGATGCTGTAACGTGATGCAGTGAAGTGTTCACGTAACGCGATGCTGTAACGTGATGCAGTGAAGTGTTCATGTAACGTGATGCAGTTAAGTGTTCACGTAACGCGATGCAGTGAAGTGTTCTCTTAACGCGATGCTGTAACGTGATGCAGTGAAGTGTTCATGTAACGTGATGCAGTGAAGTGTTCATGTAACGCGATGCAGTGAAGTGTTCACGTAACGTGATGCAGTTAAGTGTTCACGTAACGCGATGCTGTAACGTGATGCAGTGAAGTGTTCATGTAACGTGATGCAGTGAAGTGTTCACGTAACGTGATGCAGTGAAGTGTTCTCTTAACGCGATGCTGTAACGTGATGCAGTGAAGTGTTCATGTAACGTGATGCAGTGAAGTGTTCACGTA